GTTTCCTGAGCAGAGATTCAATGCAGTAAGATCCCAAAATTGTGGTGGTAACATGGACAAGGGAAGAGACAAGTGGAGTAGCCTTTGATTTTTCTGGGTGAGAAGACTTTTACTTGGAGCAAGAAGAGGAAGGGGAAACGGTTCTATTTGGAGCTTGGATGTCCGTAGCTGAAGTTAACTTTTCTATTAAATCCATTTTTACATGTTCATAACTCATGCCTGTAATCTATATTTATTAATATCATTTTAAGGCATTTCTTCAGATATCTTTGACCTACATGAATATGTCAGCCTGTGACAGCCTCTGCAGTTTTGTCTACAGAACATGTAGATCAGGTACAAACAATTTGAGATTAGGGCGGGTATGAATTCTTTGCTCTGGCATAAATGACAAAACCGTATTTACATATTATTATGTTTTAAATTATTCTCTAAAAACACATGTAATTTTCCTACTATAGGGATTGTTTTATTTTCTTAGATTGTTTCAAGCAACACGAAAGACATCGTGATTGTTAGGCGGTTGAATTCTTTAGAAATAAGTTAACCACATATCTACCTTTGAGATCTTGCCTTCTAGATCACCAGGAAACAATATCCAGCCACACTTCAAATGAAGTGTGCAAAATTAATTCTCTTTGATTTGGCTTGGCAGCCGCACACTAATTTCCTTTTACAGTCCTGAGATAACAGAAGCAGTTGACATTGTTAGGTGTTATACCGCCAAGAAATAAATAGGAAAGAGATAACACGATTTTTTTACCTGCTGGTAGAATGGGACACTGTATGTCAAGAGATGATTGATCTGATCAACTATATTACTTAAAAAATCTCAATATTGGGAAAAGCCAGTGATCTTTTTGTTGTTTTTGTCGGAACTGATTCCTAGAAAAGCAAGCAAATTAAACGTGAAGAAACAACAAATGGAGAAGCCTATTTTTTTGTACTGATCAGTGGGAAAAGGAAATTGAGTCTAGATAGGACAACAACACGATAGCAAAAATGAAAAGCCAGTGACTGCTTATACATTTCATAACTGGAAGCTACATAAAAAATAGTAGACGCAGATCTGAAATAACAGCAGTAAAGGGAAACAAAACTGATTTCTTAAAATATTTATTACTAACTAGAAATAGGGATTTTACTCTAGATGTGCAAGAGAAATGGTGACTGGAACATGCAATCATTTTTTTTCTGTATTACCGCTAGAAACAAGCACTATTTTGGATGTGTGAAAGAAGAATGATCGACATGGAAAACGCCAATGGATTTTGTGTATTAATTTTTAAGAAAAAAGGTGATATATTTCATTATTGGTTATTTATCACTACAAACAGACACTACTTTTGTATATGTGAACAGTGGTTGAGCATCACAGCAAAGTTAGGACGGGCCAACTGCTAAGCCCAAAGTGGTAGCACGGGTCAAATAAGGAATTTATCTCATATGGGCCATTATTTACTGATTTTTGTGGGCCAAATAACTATATTCTGCTTGGGAAGACCAAGAATCAACAGGGACAAGGATCAGTTTTGTTGTTGATTGGTTAGAAAAAGGATTAATCATAAACTAGATATGAGAGCATAAAAGTGAGTGAAAACTCACCAATGAGAGTTGAAATTAAAATAATGCTTCTAGCTAGCTAGGACAGAAATGAAAGAATTTTGATGAACAATATCAAAAAAATTAGTTGCAGAAAAGACAAATGTTTGGGAAGAAGAGGGCGAGAGGTTTCAATAAATGCACTCTTATGAGTTATATATACACAAACTGAGGAACTGAAATGAACCAAAGATGGGATGCTTGGTTAGAGCAACAAGCAAATAATACATTTGCTTAGAAGATAAATTGGTAATGGAGCGGAACAAATCATGAACAATTGTAAGCATCAACTTGAAACTGACAACTCTTATCCTAAGAATTAACGTACTATATACATAAACATTGTAAGCATAACCATGTACGAAGTTTTAATAGAGGAAAACATACTGGGTGAGCTTTGTAGAAATAATATTGATTCATTAATCATCAATGTATGTTTTACCTCTCAGCGACTAAGAAACCTGGACTGGGTATAACTTTGTATAAGATAATGTCATGTAGATTCTTAGATTAGCAATACTTAAACTGTAGGCGGCCAAATAAATATTAATTGTCCACGTTTCTGCTTAAAAGTTGCAGGCTAGCTTCCTTGTATGGTCCTGAGAAAACACAAGCAAATTGACCCTGCTTGTTATATAGCCCTGAAGTGAGTAAAAAGATCACAGAGGAGAGAATATATAATGTACCTGGTGGTTGAATTAGGCACCGTAATATTGATGTCAAGAGATGGTCTTATCAACCAGGTTTACTTTAAATATCTCGGTAGTGGGACAAGCCAACAATCTTTCGGTGTATTTGCTAGAGAGCTGAAACCACTTTTGAGTTTTGTGTTTTCAGTATTTATCCAGAGAAAAGAGGACAAAGTCTGGATATGAGAATAACACAATGGCAATGATGGAAAGCCAATGAATTTTGTTTTTGTATAATTTTTCTTAATTGGAAACTAGAGCTGTATAAAATGGGTATTTGCAGATCTGAGAAATAATGGTAAAGGGAAACACAATGGTAAAGGGAAACAAAAATGATATTTTATCAATGTTTATCACTGGGAAAGGGGATTGTAGTGTATATGTGGAAGAGCAAAGGCGAAGTAGAGCATGCAATCATTTTTTTTGTATTGATCACTAGAAACAAAGAATATTTGTATATGTGAAAGGAAAACAATGAACAGGGAAACCACGAATAGATTTTTTGTTTTCTCTTGTAACAATGACAAGAAAAATGGGATTAAAAATGGAACAAGCACATATATTTCTGGTTTTTTTTGTTGATCACTAGAAACAAAGACTATTTTTTATATGTGGGAGAACAGGAATCGAAAGGGGGGAAACACCAACTATATTTTTTTGTTTTTGTATTGATGACTATAAAAAAGATCAATCCTAGACTGGATGTGAAACCACAAAAGCGAGTGAAAGCACCAACAAAAGTTGAAACTGAAATGACACTTCCAGCTATTCGAAGATGAAGGGAGTAGAACAGGGTCGAACGTTTTGGTGGCAGGAGAAACAAATGGCAAGGACAGGAGAGGGCGAGGCGTCTCGACGCCTGAAGTCTTCACTTATATATACACAAAACTTAAACATCAACCGGAGGAAGGATGCGATACTTGGTTACAGCAGCAAGCAAAGAATAAAGTTCTCTGACAGATAAAGCATTAAAGAAAGGAAACACATCATGAATGAGCAAGGAATAAAGGGGATAACCTGCCATGTGCACCAAGGCCAAAGGGGCATGATATAAAGTCCAAATTGCATAATGTTTATGGTGTAGCCTTCAGGATTTATTCAGCTCTGCGAGTTTCTCTCCCTTGCAACTCTCTCTAAAGGATTCTCACGCACACATGGTGAAACTCTAATCAACACAGACACTTGCACCGAGGAGAAAGCTAGCTTTGCCTTATCTCCCGGTGACAAACACATAGGCTACATTTTTCCACAGCCCTCTTGTTGGAATTTATGTGTCTTTCAAATATTATACTACAGTTTTATTTTAATTAATACCTCATTGTGGAAATTATGTTTGATCGGAATTGATCAAAGGTTTGCATTCATACGTTGTACTTGAGGAATTAAACTCAAGGTGCTGGTCACAATTATACTGGAACACTTCATGTTCTTATACATGTTGGAATATTCCCGGGAACAGTATAAACTGGGGAAGCTGGGCTATACGTAGGATCAGCTCTACGTATTGAAAAGCCTACATGTTTAAACATGTATTGATACAGTTTAAACATGGTGTATGACTCACACATACGTGCGAATGGATAAGAAGGAATTTGACTCGGAAACTAGTCAGTTATGATTGTGGTTGGTTAATTCGATTAGGAGTCTAACTGAATTCTATCCAGATACGGATTTGTATTTTCAGGAAACTGAGTACAAATATGTCCCTACCCTCTAGCTTCAGATACGCATTGTGAGCCGCACCACAGACTTGGCGGAGGAATTAGAGGGTAGACAAACATACTCATGCTATGTTATTTTCAACACCTCTCGGCTTCCTGCTTTGATTACTCAATGTGCAACATATATACACCGGGGTTGAGCACCCATGCCAGCCAACTCACGCTACAACATCGGTCCACTAACTAAGGACCATGCACTAACTAATCACTAGCTAGATGCATGCCCACGTCTTCCATTTACGCAGCCTATCCTATCCACATAGGACTCGGCCATAATCACACGCATGCAGCTAACAAACTCACAAGCTACTACTTGGAGATAGCATAAAAGGATGACGTCCTATTTCCTATTTTCAAGTAGTATGTTTGAGGGTAACAAACTCACGTACTCATGCTATTTCCTATTTCCTATTTCCTATACTAATGCTATGCTATTTTCCTGGGAGGAAACAACTTCCGCTGCGTACTCCTCCCAAAGTCTGGAACAGAGTCGCCTAGATCTCGTCAACACAACTCGCTCGATCGGGAAAACCCTCGCTCGCCCGATCTCACCGCCTCGCCGTCTCCGCTGCTAGTCCGCCTCGCCGTCTCCACCGCCGCTTCGCCGTCCCTGCCGCGGCGGAAGCCTCGCCGTCTCCACCGCCGCCTCGCCGTCCCTGCCGCGGCGGACATCTCGCCATCTTCACCGCCGCCTCGCCGTACCCGTCGCGGCGCCCACCTCGTCCTCCACGCCGTGACCGGCTGCTCGTCTACAACTAGCCGGGAAATCAGATCTGCAGAGTCTGTTGCTGCTCCAAATCCTCTGCTTCGACAACTAGCCAAGCTGCACGAGCTGCTGCCGGCTGCTCGGAACCTACAAATCACACGTGAGTTTGCTGCTACTAATCAACGTAGTAGTACAAGTGCTGTTTGGAATTTTTGCTGCTACTAGTCAGCGTGGAAGTACATGTGCTGATTGGAATTTTTACCACGGTAATCATCACCTCTGATGGCTTCCAACAGTGTGTTTGCTGAGTTACTTAGATCTTGTAAATTGGATGGTTCAAATTTTACTGTCTGGAAGAGGAAGATTATGTTTCTCCTCACTGCTAAGAACATTGATTATATCATTACTCAATCTAAGCCTACCCAACCATCTGACGAGGCAGAAGATGAGGAAAAGGAAAGCTATCGAGAGGAAATTACTCAGTGGACTAAAGACAACAAAATGGCTAGAGTGTTTATGCTTGGATCTATGTCTGATTCTCTAGCTGGAGAATATGAACCAGAGGAATTAGCTCGCAAAATAATGAGGAGATTGGAAAAGCACTTTGGGGAAGTTTCACTTATCAAAGTTCTTAGCTTGGTGAATCAGTTTTTGACTGCGAAGATGACAGAAACCACTACTGTTAGTGCACATCTAAATAAATTATGTGTGCTAGTAGAGGAACTAAAGAATGCTGGGTACCCTTTCCCTGAAGAAGTTCAAGTTATGGTTGCTCTTAACTCTTTGCCAAACACTTGGGAACAATTTAAAATATCCTTTTGTCATACTGAGTGTGTGCTAAACATGAGGACGCTAAGGCATCATCTACTAATGGAAGAAGACAGGAAGTCCACACAAGGGAAAGAACGAAGGTCTCAACATGGTGAACTACACCTTGGTGAGGAGAAGTCTTCAAGCAAGAGGAATTGGCAAAAGAGGAAATATGGGACAGATTTGAGGGATAAAATAAATCAGAAGGGTGATAGGAATGATTACAATGGAAGAACCTCAAATCAGAAGGTTGACAACAGGAAATTTAACTGCCATAATTATGGTGAACAAGGACACTTCAGATCTGAGTGCACTAAGAAGAGGAAGCCAGATGATAAGGAGTATAACAACAACCAGTCCAAGCATCAGGATAATTGAAGGGGAAATTGTTCACCTGATGGTATGTCACATGTTTTTGTATGTTCAGAATCTCTATTTACAACTTCCTTGTCAAATAGTTGGGTGGTTGATTCTGGCTCCACCTCACACATTGCAAGAGATAGGAATTCTTTCTGTTCATTTAAACCAGTACAAAAGGGAACTAGATATATTTATCTAGGAACGACATCAAAGGCAAATATACTAGGAATTGGGGACTATAATCTAAAACTCCCAAGTGGAGGAATATTACTCCTCAAGAATGTTGTATTTGCTCCAGATATGAGGAAAAATCTCACATCGGTATCTAGACTATAATCTGCGGCTTTGATGTTAACTTTGGCAATGGGAAGGTTAAAATATTTCTAAAAGGAAAATCAATACAATCAGGGAACCGTGTAGAAGTCCTCTATTATATTGAAGATATTTTCGATATTGATGTTATGGACAGTTTAGTTGCTGAAAACCACTCCATTGTGAGGAATATAGCCAGAAATGACAATTGTTCCGAATCCTACCTATGGCATTTAAGGCTAGGCATATATCAAAGAACAGGATTAAAAGATTGATTAGTTCTGGAAGTCTGAATTTTAAATGGGAAGGTTATGAAATTTGTGAAGCCCGCATCATGGGAAAAATGACAAGATCTCCCTTTCCTAAAGCCGAAAGATCTAGTGAGCCCTTAGCCATAATTCATTCAGATATTTGTGGGGAAATGACAATACCCACGATAGGACAGAAGGTGTATTTTATCACATTCATTGCTGACTTCTCCCGATACGGTTATGTCTACCTCCTTAAACACAAGTCTGAGGGTTTTGACATGTTCAAAACTTTCAAGGCTGAAGTGGAAAACCAATTAAATGGGAAAATTAAAGTCCTTAGGACCGATAGAGGAGGAGAGTACACATCCGGAATTTTGGATGAATTCTGTAAAGAACATGGGATAGTACACCACTACACATTACCCTACACACCCCAACAAAATGGTGTAGCGGAAAGAAGAAATAGGACGTTGATGGATATGGTTCGATCCATGATGGCTTACTCGGATTTACCTTTAAGTTTTTTTTTGGGAGGGGGGAGCACTGCATACTGCAGTTTATTTATTAAATCATTCACCCTCAAAATCAGTAAAGGTCACTCTCTATGAGCTTTGGAAAGGGAGGAAACCAACACTAAGGCACCTGGCTGTTTGGGGTTGCAATGCTCAAATTAAAATCCCTAGCCAGAACAGAACCAAACTACAACCTAAGACCACTCCAGGAATTTTTGTTGGATATTCTGCTGGTTCCAATGGTTATAGGTTTTATGATCCCAACAATAAGAAGTTATTGGAAAGCAGAGATGCTATGTTTTTAGATCAGGACACTCCTTGTCGTGCTAAGAGGGCTAGAGTGGAATTGATAGATGAAGAATCCGAGGAAGTAGTAAATGACTCTAATGGTAATCTTTCAAGCCAAATCCCTGACATAAATATGGAAGAAACTCCTTCAACTAGTATGCCTAGAAGAAGTGGGAGGAACACACAAACACCATCCTATCAAGATAATTACTTTGTGTTTTTAGGAGAAGTGCACTCTAAAGTGTCTTTAGAGGAAGAACCTAAAACTTACAAACAGGCCATTGATTGTGAGGAATCTGGACTATGGTTGGAAGCTATGCGGGAAGAACTAAACTCCATGGAAAGAAATGGTGTTTGGGAACTTGTTGGTTTACCCCAAAACCGCCAGGCCATAGGATCTAAATGGATATTCAAAAGGAAACTCAATGCTTCAGGAGGTGTGGAAAAATATAAAGATCGATTACTTGCTAAGGGATATACACAAAAGGAAGGAGTAGGCTTTGTGGAAACATTTTCTCCTATTGCAAAATTCACTTCTTTTCACATCTTATGTGCCTTAACTGCTTATTTTGATCTTGATCTCCATCAAATGGATGTCAATTCTGCTTTTCTAAATGGTTATTTAAAAGAGGAAATCTGTATGACACAACCAGATGGTTTTGTGGAAAAAGGAAATCAGAATAAAGTATGTAAGTTGAAAATATCAATATATGGTTTGAGGTAGGCTTCTAGGAAATGGAATACCTTATTTGATGCTGCAATCACATCATACGTTTTCTCTATGATGGAAGGAGACCCCTGTATTTATTTCAAAATAGTGGGAGGAAACTTTGCATTATTATCTTTGTATGTCAATGACAATTTAATTGCTTCAAACCATCAGGGAACTTTAATGGAAGTGAAATCTTGGTTATCATCTACTTTTGATATGAAAGATTTGGGGGAAGCCTCTTATGTTTTGGGGGTGGAAATACATAGGGATCGGGAAAGTAAAGTTTTGGGGCTGTCTCAAAAAGCTTATCTTAAAACTATTTTGAAACGATTTTCTATGGAAGATTGCAAACCTGCAAATGTACCAACGATAAAAGGAACTAAACATAGCGAGGAACAATGTCCTAAAACTCCTAAGGAAATAAGGGAAATGAAAAATGTACCTTATGCTTGTGCTCTGGGGTCTCTTATGTATGCAATGCTATTTACTAGACCAGACTTATGTCACACTGTTGGGATGTTGAGCGGATTTCGGAAAAAAAATCCCGGGGAAGCTCATTGAAAACAAATAAATTATGCTATGCGATATATAAAAGGAACGATGGACTTTTCTCTTTGCTTTAATGGTGATAATCTTCAGCTGCAGGGATATACTAATGCTGACTGGCAGGGAGACCTTGATGAAAGGAAGTCAACGTCAGGTTGTCTATTTACTTTGGCTGGAGGTGCTATCTCTTGGAAGAGCAAGAAACAAACTTCTGTCGTGCAGTCTTCTATGGAAGCAGAGTACATTGCTGCAACTGAAGCCGTAAAAGATGGCGTTTGGTTGAGGGAATTTCTGGTTTCTTTAGAGATAGTTGAAAGTGCATCAGATCCAGTCACCATTTATTGTGATAATCAAGCTGCGATTAAACTTTCCAAGGATCCGAAGTTTCATAGCAGGGCTAAACATATTGAGGGAAAGTACCATTATATTAGAGATGTTATAAATAGATTGAAAACTGTTCTGCTTGAGTTTTTGCCTAGTACTGATATGTTGGCAGATCCACTGACTAAACCCCTTAGTCAGGAATTGTTTTGCAAACATATCGGGAACATGGGCCTTAGGATTTTTTGATTGAATGTTTTTAGACAAGTGGGAGATGTAGGAATTTATGTGTCTTTCAAACATTATACTACAATTTTATTTTAATTAATACCTCATTGTGGAAATTATGTTTGATCGGAATTGATCAAAGGTTTGCATTCATACATTGTACTTGAGGAATTAAACTCAAGGTGCTGGTCACGGTTATACTGGAACACTTCATGTTCTTATACATGTTGGAATATTCCCGGGAACAGTATAAACTGGGGAAGCTGGGCTATACGTAGGATCAGCTCTACGTATTGAAAAGCCTACATGTTTAAACATGTATTGATACAGTTTAAACATGGCATATGACTCACACATACGTGCGAAGGGATAAGAAGGAATTTGACTCGGAAACTAGTCGGTTATGATCGTGGTTGGTTAATTCGATTAGGAGTCTAATTGAATTCTATCCGGATACGGATATGAATTTTCAGGAAACTGAGTATAAATATGTCCCTACCCTCTAGCCTCAGATACGCATTGTGAGCCACACCACAGACTTGGCGGAGGAATTAGAGGGTAGACAAACATACTCATGCTATGTTATTTTCAACACCTCTCGGCCTCCTGCTTTGATTACTCAATGTGCAACATATATACACCGGGGTTGAGCACCCATGCCAGCCAACTCACGCTACAACATCGGTCCACTAACTAACTAAGGACCATGCACTAACTAATCACTAGCTAGATGCATGCCCACGTCTTCCACTTACGCAGCCTATCCTATCCACATAGGACTCGGCCATAATCACACGTATGCAGCTAACAAGCTCACAAGCTACTACTTGGACCAAACAGACTACATGCAAGCATCAACGAACTCACCCAAATCTCTTGGTCATCCAGCCGGTGGTCTCCAGCTCCTCGTGCGCCTTGCCGCATCTCACGACGCCGTATCACACAGCGCAGCAGCCTCTCGCCGCCATCGGCATCCCACCTTGCTTGCCGCATCGCACGGCAGCCCGGCATCTCGCCTTCTCCGTGTACTCAACTGATGTCTTGATGACTAGCTACTCCCTAAATTACATAAGTTACATGCATGATGAAAAACCGAACTAAAATGCTGATACAATAATATCAAGATTAGTGCTAACATAATGTCTGTCTATAATTGCGAATCTTACCACGGAAATGCCAAGGAAGTACCGGGCAACTCACACGCGGACCGCTAATATCTTACATTCCTAAGAAGTTGATCCCCACTACAACCAATTCTCTCTACATGCGCACTGTCCACATCATCACCATGCCACCTCATTAATTCAGTCAAATCAGCAACTCTCAACACATAAACGATGCCATGTCATGATGTGTTTCGTTTCCAGCATTGAACAATGATGGACGCCTCGGTAAACATGCAGCATAACGCACCGTCTTCATATGGTGGTTCTTTTCATCTCTTATCCATAAATAAATCTCCACGGTGGTTCTTTTCATCTCCCATGCATCAATAAATCACAACCAAGATCTTCCAGATTCTTCCTCTCTCCTATTTATGTACTAGATCATCGATGGCACGTGTTGCTGCGCCATCAATTTTTTCAATCAAATGATAGGAATTTTTACAAATATTTGGAGGCATGATCACTACCCAGGTCTAAACCAAGAAATAAATCTGTGGTGGTTCAAATCACAACACGACACCTATAATTCACCGAATTCATACATATTAACCAGAAACAGTACTCAAGATGCCAGTCTAATTAACATGTTGTTAAACATACTTGTAGCAAGTTTTGACTTAAAGTGTGTAACCAAACAACTGTAGTATAACTTCACTCTGAATAGAAACATGGCTAATTAGTG